GTGGGGGGCGGCCCGAGGGGCTGGGAGAGGGTCCGGCCCACGCTGCGCCTGGGCTGGGACTGGTCCCGCCGGCGCAGGGTAGCAGGAAACTCTCCACACACTCACCGGACCTGGGCTAGGACTGGGTCTCCAGGCAGGCATTTAGACTGCTGAGCTATCTCTCCAGCCCAATAATGTTTTGGTAGCTCACCACATACCAATTTTTCAGATGTCAGGATTCATAAATATTAGTATTCCCAGCTCAGAAGCATGTGAATCTCACTGCCTTTACCTCTTGGTAGATGACTATGGATCAGCCTCTTAACTTCTCTTGCTGGCTTTAGTTTCTCATTGTTAAAAGAGGGCAAATAATGAGCAAATACAGTAGAGGTTAATCAATAAAAAATGAAATTTATACCAGTGGGGCTGCTCTTCCTGGTTGTCTGTTGGGCCTTGGTTTTCTCTAATTCAAACACATGCCCAGACACGGGCTGAATTTTCTGAGTGATCACTCCGTTATTCTTGTCCCCTGGCTGCTAAGAAATACCTGAGTATATCCTCTTGCTTATCTATTATTTTTTATTTCATATTAAGTACTTACTATGACAAACTTCTGAGGTATATTACTAGCTGGGTCTCTACAAAATTCAAATATTAATGTGAAATGACTAATTTTAAAAAAATTCTACAGACTGTTTCTCAAATTTTTTTTTTTTTTTTTTGGTGGAACCGGGGATTGAACTCAGGTCCTTGCCCTTGCCAGGGAAGCATTTATTCCACTGAGCCATCTCCCCGGCTCTCAAATATTTTTGGAAAGAGATAAATTTACCTAATCCTAGCACATTTTTCTACCTAGCATATTTTTCTACAGAAATCAACAGGAAAGAAATAGTCAAGCTATTATCATTTAGGAAGTTTGTTAATTTCTCTAATTGGCAAGCTGTTGGAACAAATATTACTTGAAAGAAATAATAAATGCCATCTAAAATGTGTGACAGTTCCTTTGTCAGCTCATGACTATTTTCACTAGTGGCACAGTCATTGCCATTAGTACCATGTAAAAAAATCAGTGACAAGACTGATGAGTGTTTCTAGTTTTTCTAAAAAGGGATCGCAAAAGTTCAACATATACTTACATTTTTTTTTTCAAGAATAGGACAAATACCATATTTAAAAGGCCAGAGCAGAGTTTGGATATTATTTGTTTTTCAGATGGTCAGTTAATCTACAGTGAGTAAGGATGACACATGCCGCAGTATCTTATATTTGAGTTTTTCTTTTCTCTGTTCTCTAAATTTAGTCATAAAATGAATATTGTCATTGCTATGTGCAGTGTTAGGGATTAAAGCTAGGGTCTTGTACATGCTGGGTAAGCAGTCTACCACTTAGCTACCTCTTCAGTCCTAAAATTCTTTGTAAAAAGGTAGGGTATTCATATGAATAACTGGTTGGAAGACAACACTATGTATCGCAACAAATATTGTGAAATTCATATTACTTTGTTAAGTAAAATTCTGTATCACTTTTTTTTTCTGTCTTAATTCTAATTTGTACTCTCTTTAAAAAATAAAAAAAAAAGTTTTAAAAAGAGTAATGAGTTTAGTGTGCCTCATGTGAATTCAACAAATGTAGGCGAGATGGTTCTGGTGCGAAGCACCAGGGTACAGCAGCTCTTCTTCTTCTGTCCTGTTCCATATCAACTTGCTGATCTGACAGGACAGGTGTCGGCTCTTTGCAGAGGCTCAAGCATACTGAGAGGGTGGTCAGGAGTGTGTGCTCACTCCTGTCGCCTGCCTCACGGGACTCGGAAAAGCTTTAGGACAGAAGAAATGTGGGCTTGATTGGTCCTCAACATTTCTGTAGAAAAATCACAAGAAGATGCCCTGAAAGACCACAGGACACAGCAGGCATCACTGAAGCACGAGGTTCAAAGTTCATTTTGTTGTGTGCACGCTTGTGGAAGTAGAGTCACACTGGAGTGATACTCAGAATACAGAACTACCACCAGTGGGCTGCTGCAGGCCCTGAGGAAGTTGTGCGCTGTGTGGGCCAGTGGTACCGCTGCACTGGGGCCTGGCTCTGCGCTGGTCCTGGGCTTTCGGCAGCCTTCCACCTCACTACAGAAGAACACCAGATGCCCCTCTCGCTTTCCAAGGTGTCTAACTTATTGCCATGCCAAACTTGAAGGGAAAAAAGAGCTGTATTCCACAGGTGGGAAGATTGTGGCTGAAAGAGCTACTACTAGTAGTCCATTGTCAGAAATCTTACCTACTTTAACTACTGTTTGTTGATCACAAGGCAATGGCTCAACGTGTCTGATGTCCCATATTTAAAAGGAAAAAATACCCGGATGACAGCTGAGTTTGGGCTTTGGGAGATTTCTTGGTCACTTATATGTATTTAAGAAGGACAAAGATACAAATGTGCACATCTAAGTTTTTGGTCTATTTCCCGTCCTGCTTCAGGCATCAAGCCTGGATCCAGGACAGGTGATGCGATGACATATAAGGGGACTCATCGATACCCTGCCCAAATGATGGAGCAGGAATGCATTTATTTTATTTGGTAAGTACACATCACCAAGAGTCAACCTTCCCTTTATCTTAATTCTCTATATTGCACAACAAATTTGTATTCTGCACATGCACACATGCGCGCACGTTCACACACACACACACACACACACACACACAATTATCTAAGATAAAATAAAAAGGGAGAAAGAACAATGACTACTAAAAACTTTCCTCCTTCAAAAAAGTAACTCAGGATAAGATTTCTTCTTGTTGAAAAAGTAGAGGTCATGTTGTCTTACAGAGATAAAAGTCAAACACCCCAGCTTTTTAAATCTTTCAAATGTAAATTCTGGTAAATTGCTTAAACTTGCTAGTTGTCAGAAAAGGCAAAGGAAATCTTAGCCTCAGGAAACAGCTATTTAAGGGGACCCATGCTTCCATTATGGGTTAACCATACCCAACCTCTTGCTGAGGAGACACACCTGCAGGGCCATCTTGAGGGTTCTGAAGATCAGCTAGAGTCAGGAGAGTGACTGTGACAGCCGATCAACCACTGGCCCCTCCAGCAAATTGAGTGGGGGCACACCCCATGTAACAGGATCTAGGGCTCCTCCAGGTAAAGTCTGGTTTGCCTGGGCCTTGTTTCCTGTCAGTGATGCTGGGCCTCACTACAGGTTTCAGCTGTTGCCATCAGAAACATTTCTTTTGTTCCTTATTTCTATAAGGCAGAATGCTGTCTTCCACCTCAGGACACGGCAGATCCACACACACCGCAGGGAATGAATCCACAAGGCTTGCTGTGGTAGCACTAGCTTAAGGAGAGTGGGAAGAGAGGAAACAAGGTGGGCTTTCTTTCTCTCAAGCTAAAACAATAACAGGAAATAACAAAATGATGGATTTCTGAAAGCAACAATATTTACAAGGATTTGTAATTGCTCTGCCAACTTCTATTCCTTGCTATTTGGAGACCACTCTTTCTGTTAAAATCAAACCTTCACTGGAACTTCAGTTGGCTGCTCTCTCTACTCTTGACTTGCTAGAGCCCCTCTGTCAAATGGCAGTTGAGCCACAGCGTGTTCATCATGAGGACGGCGCTCTCACATTCATACACATTTCCACTTAGGGACACAGGCAGATCCGTGTAGTCACCCAAGCATACACACGGGGCTGACGGAGAACGCTGCTGATTAGAATTTCCAGGGGGGGATAAATGGAACCATCATGGCTTTGAAAATGGTGAGTTTGTGTTTGGACCTGAAGTTCAAGATTTTAAAATGAATATCTTGTGCTTCTCACCTTCCTTTGCAAATCAGGAGAAATGCACTTCAGGAACACAGGTTACTGTACTCCTTCCTTTCTCGAGTCCTGAAGCAGACCTCCCTAGAGAAAGGGCTTGCCCGTGCGTGGATTTACCTGGGTCCTTGTAGATGCTGAGCACACCCTTGAAGTAATGAGGTAAAAATCTTTCCAGTAAAAGCAGCACATCTTCCAACTCCTCGAGAATCCCCACAAGCAGGAAGTTTTCGTTCACGTTCAGCTTGGCGCGTTCGAGGGCCCACTCGCCAGGCTCCCTTTATGGAGACAAAAGTCATCTTTAAGTCAGTGACTTTTCGAAATGCAGCAACAGCACATGAGGGCCCCCTCCATTCGTGCATGTCTAAGCCTGATGTCCTCTGAGCACTGGCCCTGGAGTAGCCTAGTTCAGAGCTTTCCCTGGTCTCTCTGGCTAGGGCCCTCCTGCGGTCATTTTCTCCAGTGAAGAGCATTCAGGGCCTTGAACCAAGTGAGCCTTGAATAAACATTTGTTGAAAGATCAATACAGACCCAGACATTTAGGTCCTTACAAATGCTGATGGAGATCAATTAAATGAAGTTATCGGTTTTGAAATATGAAAATTACTGACATAGTATTTCTTCAGAAAGCAAAAAAATAAAAAAATTGTCAATTTATGCTTCTGATCATCAGATCCTTTGAAAAGCCAAAAGAAAAATTTGTTTCATTACTCAAAGGACACACCCTAATCTCACGGGTAGGCCAGAGCTCTGAGTCAGCATTTGTGTAACTGAGCAAAGTCCCGGAGCTGCTTTCCAGGTCTGGCTGCCGTCTTCCCTTTGGGAGGATTTCGGCAAGCTAATGCTCTCTTTTGAAAATGGTGATAAATATTCTTGCCTTCCCCTAAGAAATGAGAGGTTGAACAAAGCAACATGGGAAAGAATTCTGAGTAGCGACACGTGTAAAGTGAGGTAAGGTACGTGAGTACTCAGCTCAACAGGAAAGAAGTCATTTGAGAACCAGTCTGGGAAGTTAGTGCTTTTTGAAATAAATATCTTCACTGTGACCAGATCTTTTTAGGATCTGTAGCAACAAACAAGGAGGTACTGATTGTAGATATGGGAAACTCTGGGGGCTGGCTGCTGGAACTCAGGATATATATGATAAAGCAGAAGACAGACACTTGGGGCCGGGGAGATGGCTCAGTGGAATAAGCGCATCCCTGACAAGTGCAAGGGCCTGAGTTCAATTCCCGGTTCCACCAAAAAAATAGAAAAAGAAGAAGACAGACACTCATAGCCCCGAAATTTGGACCATAGACAAACTTTTATGCTACAGTGAGCTAAATGAAGCAGCACTAACAACAACAAGCCTAATGAGGAAGCAGAAATGACACCATAGGATGGGCTGCCATTGAGAAGCAGCTGTTCCTCCTTGGCCTCTTCAGGAGCACAACAATCCTCTGAACAGCATTTCCTTTGGGGGGGGGGTATGTCACTTCTGTTAAAGGCTTTATGTCCAACCAAGTAAAGAAAATAACTCATTGTTGCTATCATTTATGGACTGCAATTTTAGCTATACCTGAGCCACCTGGAGAGGTGGTTAGGTGCGTCTATGCCCTACCTCGGAGCCTATGATTATCTGGGAGTTCTTTACAAGTACTCAGGGGTGCGCTACTGGATTTGAGCATCCTCTATATCCTAAGGGCCCTGGTAATCTTAAGAAGTCACTTTCTAAAGAAAGAAATGCATTTAAACTAGGGCAAGGAAAGATCACTAGAAAACAGTTTCCTCTTATTCTACTATCGGTGTCTCGTGGGAGGGACCTTTTCAATCTGGCTGTGGCTTTCCAGGTGTTGGACCCAACAAATGAGCAGGAGCAGCGGGCCAGGTGCCTTTCCTTCGCCTCCACTGGCTCATGAGCTGAGAGGTGACAGTTATGTTTAGGGATAAAGAAAGGGGCTAGTTGGCATTCCAATTACACAGCCGTACTGGAGGTCCCCAGAGGCCTCTGAAAAAGCCTAACTGTGAAGTTCGTTGCCTATCAGACACCGGGAGTCGCAAGTGATATATCTTAAGATTGCAAGCAAATATAAGTAGAGTTCCCAAAGCTTGAGAGTATAACACAGAAGAGTCACAGAATGCCAGTCTCGTAGGTTAGCATGCTGAGAGCCTCGGTGAGTCTTTACCTGCATCTGGGATGCTGTCCACAAAAATACGGGATGATGTAAAATAATCTGGGGTTGGAACACTCAGGGTAGTTTTCAAGAATGCACTCATTGATATCCTAGAAGAGAAAACACAGCTGTGAGATGCCTCATGGTCTCTGCAGTGCTTTGTTGAAAGCCAAAGAGTTTAAAGAAGATTAATATTTAAATTACAGTCTTGAACAGATGTAGGAAAATCCATGCACTTGCCCAGAAAACTTTTTAATTTGCTTCTCAACATCTGGTTCTACTGGCCAGGTGCACATATGGCATGCCAGTCCAGACAGCAGTTTGTGGGTACACAGCACCCCTGCACCTCTCAGTGTGCGAAGGCTTTGGTTGATCACACATCATGAGAAGAGTGTACCCAGGCGCTCTATGGTGATGCCAGCAGCTACCAGCCAACAGGTAAGCACAGAGTTAACAATAAATATTTGTGGTATGAATTTGGTACGACTTAATTCATAATGACTTTTGACTTAATTGCATACCAGTATGGTCAGCCCTGCAGCAATGAGTTTATCTCTGGTTCTGTATATACAAAAATGATTAAGTAGCTACGGTAGGCTCCTAAAGAGTTTTTAAATTGCTGAGGAACTGTAATATGACATCCAATGTTATAACAGGTTAGAAAGTGACCCAATATAACATTAGATGCACTACATTAGGATGTATGAAGGGCCGAGCCAAATAGCTCAGTGGATTAAAGTGCCTGCTTAGGCAGATGAAGGGGCTGGGAGTTCCCTGGACCTGCCTCGTTGGACCTGCCCCCAGGGCAGGCTGAGATGGTGATTGAGACTGGGCATGGTGGTGTGTGTGCCTGTAATCTCAGCACTTGGAAGGCTGTAAAACAGGAGGATCACTATGAGTCCGATCTACACAGTGAGACCCTGTATACCCTGTCCTAAATACAAAAAAAAAAAAAAAAAAAAAAAAAAAGATGTGTATATATATGGGTATCTTCACTTTCAAACATAATAGAGTAAGTCTTAGATTTTCTATGTCTCTGACATAAGGTTGAATATAGTGTCTCTGTTAATGCAAAGGCTTAGAATGGCTTGGAGTAGGTGGATAGAAGTCTCAGAACCTACTGTTCTCAAAGCAGATGGCAGTGGATACCCTGGACCACAGATGCTTGGTTCTTAGGTATTTCTAAGGAGAAAAGAGAAGGCTAATTTACAGATCAAAAAGCTGTGGAATGGGTTTTGCAGGGACAATACTGGCAAGGCTGGGTAAGGGTAGAATCTTACTCACAAATGTGGCCAATGGAGTTTGAGTCTATAGAAGCCACTTATTTCGATATAACTGGTAAGGTGGTTAACTATTAGTGATTTTTCAATTCAAGTTGGGAATGTTGTTCAAACAGCACTTTCTTTTCCTTTCTTTGGTTTATGTGCCAATTAAATCACACAATTACAATAGCAAATTAACTGGAATAAAGAGAAGCAAACACATTTGATGGTGCTCAAGCACTTAAGTTTACTGGCAGGGAGCAGAGTTGCAATAAACAATGAATGAATGAGGAGGGGGCAGGAGGAAAGAGCTGTGACACACAAGCAGCTGGACAAGGTAGTGTGGCTTGGAAACTCAGCACTCAGGAGGCCGAGGCAGGAGGATCACTGCAAGTTCAAAACCAGCCTAAGGGGTTGGCGAGAGAGCTCAGTGGACCAGGCGCCTGCTTAGGCAAGCACAGGAAGTAGAGTTTGATCCCTGGCACCACCCAGGCATGTTGAGTCATGGACCAAGTTGGAGTGTGGTGGTGCGAGCCTATAATCCCAGCACTGGGGAGGCTGAAAACAGGAGGATCACTATGAGTCCAAGCTGTGTAGTGAGACCCTGTGCCAAATACATAAATTAAAAAAATAAAAGCCTGGGCTACATAGTGAGTCCAATCCAGCCTGAACTTCATAGCGAGACCCAATCTCAAAATAAAAAGACAAAACAGCTACCACCTCTGCCCCCTAAGCTTGCCACAATCCTGTTCCTGCAGGCCCTTGCCTGGAGGTTCATAGAACCTCTGAAAGATGTCACCTGGTTGCTGAGGGGGATGTTAGGGGGCCCAAGGGCTTTAGAAGGCCATTTTCTTCCCGTGGTCCACTAATAATTTCACAAAGCAATTTATGGGAAGACATCAATTCTCAGTTTAAGAAGTGCAGTTAACTCTTCTCTTTCTCTCAGACCAGGGCACATCCTGGGAGATTTCAAAGAATTCCACTTGAGTCCATTAGTGTGATGCATAGCGCCCACTGTGATCTGTGCCATAGGAAGATGGAAACAGGGAAGGACACAGATGAGAGCTGCGAAGCCCACACATCAGCTACTCGCCATTCAGCACTTCAGCAGGGCTGCTGTGTGGCGGCCACCGGAGGACCTGAACCTCCGGGACTCAATCAGGTTGTGGCCACCCACACAGTCCACCTAGCTGGGACCAAGACTTTTGGCAAGAGCCCTTTCCGCTTCCTGGGAAATAGAATGGGACAGCCTCAAAGCAGCCGCTTGCTCTTACAGCGTGTTCCCCTGCCAGGGGCCTCTCAGGCTCTTGGGACCACTGGGTTCCCACAGTGCTAATGATTTTTATACTTGCTTTAAGGCTTCATCACAATGACCTTCTTATACAGAACTTTTCTTAGCACATGTGTATTTTGAAATCACTATGCAACTTCACTTCTTTGCACACAGCAATTCTAGAGTAAGACTGCCTTTTAAGATCCTTACTTCTTATTTCAAAATTTTCTCTATAGCTGCCACCACAGTGGTGACTTTCGCCACACCAACCTGCCCGTAGCACTTGTTTATGACTTGGTCCTCTGGTCCCTGGATCCTGACGCATAGCAGGCTCAGCCCTCTGATGCCGTCCCTTGTCCAGCCCTCTTCTGAGATTAGATCTTAACATGAGACCCCACTCTGCTTACCCTCTCACATCACTACGGGACCAGTGAGATAATCTAAGTGAACATGCGGGCAACTGTGACAATCTTTGTAATTGTCAGTACTATAAAATAAAGTCCCACTGGCTGGAAATCATTCTAAACTATACACGTTTAACATATATACTGTAATATATAATTATATACATTATATATAATTTAAATAAAATCCTAAGAAAAATATTTTAAAAGTATGTATAGTTTTGGCTGTTGACAGATGAAGTTCTGGCCTCAGCCTGTGGCCAGTTAGCCAAGTATCTTTGGCTAAAGCCACATCACATCAGTACAGTCTATGGAGCTGGGGGGAGACTGTCCTACTTCCTTAAGTTAGTCAACTTTTAAGGATGGTTTTGTATGCTGAAGATCCAGAAAAGCTGAAAATTTCTTTGGTTAATGAAAAACTTTCTCCCAGGACTGACCAGTCAAGCCTTCTTACATTTCACAGAAGGTGACTGGGAAAAGCATTATGGTTAGTATCAGACCAAACTCAGCTCAGATATTGGCTGTTCCACTGTTAGCCACAGAGTCCTTGGCAAATGTCTACATTTTAAGGTTCAGTGTTTTTATCCATAAAATGGGGCAGTAATATTTGCCTCATAAGTCCCTATTAAGAGTAGAAATCATGTATATCATTTACTAAACCTCTGAAGGTTATGTCATCTTTATTATATACATTATATAATTCCTTTCTCCTTTTAGTTTATATTTAAAAGCACCATTCCTAGTGATTCCAATAGTTTTTAAACACTGACTTCAGCTAATCCCCAGAGAAAAGAGAGAGGAAAAAATATTGAAATAGGATGTGTGTTATTTAAGGTCAATCAAAAAGTACAAGTTGTTAAGAAAAAAACAAAGAATTTTAAACAAAACGGAAAATACACTCTGATGGAATGTTTGATTTGTCTCATCTTACTCTGTTCATGAAGTCATATAACACTCTGAGATTAAAAAAAAAAAGCTTTTTTTCAGGGTGGATTTAAAATTTGGGAATCAATCTCTATACTTTAGCAATACAAACATTAAAGAAAAGCATAATGACAAAATAAAGGACACAAAAAGGACAATTTCTTGTGCTCTCTGACAGTGGTGTTAGAAATGGGGGACAGAAAAATGAGTGAACGGCATGCGCCACTGAGGCAGAACCTAATTCTGGACCTATCGGTGGACCGTTGCATCCAAGTAAAATATAGTAGGCCAGTCAGTTTGGTAAGTGGAGTGGACATGGGCTAAGCCACTTGTTATTGCCTCCCATTCTTTCTCATAAAGCCTTGTAAAAAAGTTTGAGCCAGAGCTAGGAGAGTTGGCAAGACTTTTTAGTGAGGCGGTGAATGGACTTGAAAGTGGCAGGTGACCAGATGCCCCTCTCTTATGTCACACTGTCATCTGGCTCGAACCACACATTCTTTCTAATGGAGAAGGGAGGTGCCCTTGAAACCTTCCCAGTGTAGCCCCTCATTGTCGTTAGGTAGAGTACCGCTTTGTTCTCCCTACCGTAAGTACAGTGGATGGCGCTCGATCATTCACTTGTGCCATCTGTTTTGGTGAATTTATGGCTGTTGTGCCCAATGGCAGAAATGAAAAAAAGGCTTTTTTGGATAGGTGCCCTATCTTTCTACATTTATCCAACATCCTTATTCACTAGGGCTCCTCATTCAGTGGAGCTCTTTAATCCTGAATCAGAAACACACACACACACACACACACACACACACCCCAAACTTTTTTTTTTTTTTTTTTTTTTTTTTTTTTTTGAGGCCATTCATATGGAAGAACTAAGATTCTCAGTTGAAAGTTTCTGTGGCATTAAGCTAAAGGCCGAGAAGCAGCCACGGTTTCACGCCGCAGCGCAAGGAGGACGAATCTGGCACCGCGCCCAGGCTTCGGGTCTCAGAAGACTCCTTCTGCTTAATCACAGTCGCATCACTGAGCACATGAGCCGCCTGCAGGCGGGATCCCGCGCGGGACGTGAACGCCGCCCCCCAGAAGCAGCCGGGCACGTCTTTTTGTACACAGTGTTATTTTAAAGGAGCTTGAGGACAAGGGCGCTGAAGTTTCTCAGGTATGTGGAGAGGTCAACTTCGGGTCTAGAAAATGTGGGAATTCAGCAAAATAAAAACTAAAGTGTGAGATGGAGTCGAGGTAGTTAACAGACA